TCTCTCTCCCTCTCTGTTCGTGCAAACTCTCAAAACATTTTAACAATAAAAGGAATGTGCCCTGTTTGATCAACCATCAGCAGTAAAGGAACAAGCACAGTGATGGTGCTGCAGGCCTCAGCTGTTGTGTGGAAAGCTGCACACCCATTTTAGGAGCATGCGCCTTAAGTGCGTGCATGCATGCGTGCATGATCACCGAAACAGTAGTAGAACAGGAAGGATCCCACTGTTGAACAAGCAGTCATGAAATATGTAGCAGACAAGCACTTGGGAGAATACATGAAGGCTTTCGAAAAGATCTTCAAGTGCCATAAGCACTTGAAAAGATCAGAATTTTGCAAGCCATATTATTCCCTGTGGGTATATTATGAAAGTGGAAATTAGACTTTAAGAAGCAAAAGTGGAGGAGAATTGATACTTTTGAAATTAGGCGTGAGAGAAGATACCTGAGAATACCACAGACAGCCAAGAAACCAAACCAATGGGTCATCAAACAAATCAACCCAAAGTCAAGATATAAATGCCCAAGTCAAATTGTCCTACCTTTGTGGTTTTTCTGGTGAAACCAGTTTATCAGGGCAACCTGGTCTACCCAACTATGAGGCGGAGTATGCTGCTTCCGCTTTCGCCTTTCAGCGTCCTACTTTTGACTCGTTATGTGTCACTTGATCATCATTACCGCACTGAGAACAATTAATCAATGGAATAGCTTTTCAAAAATAAGCTTGGCAACCATATGAGCAGAAGGTTGGACTAGAAGATCTCTGAGGTCCCTTTCAGCTTTATGATTCAATGTCAGGGGTCAGCAACCGGCGGCTCTGGTACAACTCTTGTCGATGGTTGGCTCCACAATTGATAGGGCTTTCGGTTAGGACAGGTAGAGGAAGAAGGATGCCGTGCTAGGAGGAAACTCTATGGTGGGGGAACTGGACTTCCGGTCGGCTCCAGAATTGAACGGGGCCGGAGGCTTCTAGTTATGATCTTTGTGACTCTTTGGATGCTTAAGGCTGCCGACCCCTGTTCTGTGTGAACACCCAGCTCTCTGGAAAAGGCTCAAATGTTGGGAAAGATAGAAGGAAAGAAGAAGAGGACAACCAACATCAAGATGGGCAGACTTAGTTACAGTGGCAATGAGCGCAACATGGGGAGACTTGAAAGAACAGGTTAGGGATAGATTGTCATGGAGAAACTCTTATCTATGTGGTCACTGGGAATTCAAAACAGATTTGATGGCACGTCACCGTAATAAATGTAAAAAAGAGCCATGAAACGGAGAGAGTGAGAAAGAAACACAAGACTGACCAACCTTGATTTTCTTTGGTATAAGATGAGAGAGACAGAATCACTGTGAGGCTTTCAAAATTGATGCCAGTCTTTGGAGATGGACCAGGTCAAAATACAGATGCCACCAAGATCTACCGGAATGCTGTTGTTTTAAGGTAGAATGACAGAATCTTGAATGGCTACTGAATTCCCCCTTCAAGGGTATCTGCATTATTCCTCTATATATTCTAAACCCCTTTAGAAAACAAAGAAGTGGCTCGGTCAAAAAGCATGAGAAGCGAGCCAAGAAACGGTTTTGCAAAACTCATTCTAAAACCAAAGGTCTGGGAGGATGAGAGGGAAACTTTTATTGATCCGCTCTGTGGATTCACAGTAGAACTCCCAAGCCAAGCTGATTGCTTCTGCTGGGAGTAGTGGATCCAACACATCTGGAAGATGCCAGATGGGAGAATGCTAAACTCAACCCACAAAATTAAGTTCAAAGTACTGCAAAGGCTACAGATGGTGGAGATAACAAAGGCCCTGCATTTCTGCTTCCTCCTTTGATCTTTTCAAGTGAACCATCCTTACAAGATGGCAGCATTTTCCTGATGGACTCCACCGCTAGATGCTTTCCAACTTGCCAACAATGAACAAACTAACCTCTTTTCTTGGCACACAGAAGAAAGGCTCCCCAAATCAATGGCAATTGAGTTTCAGATCAATGTCAGTTCTCTGTGATGAGTGCCATCTGTTTCCTTGACAGGTTTTTAGTAGCTTCACCTGTCCAAACTCTAGGCGTTGCCCAGCCCCACTTGCTGCGTTTCGCAATCCCGAATGAAGAATCCTAACGGTGTATTTCAAAAACATGTGCGAGAATGATAGCTTGTGCTGAATTGATGAATTGAAATACATGTTGGTAGGGAATAATGATGAAAAAGAAATCATAAATGCTATGAAAAATAGCAAGGTTGCAAGAATACATAGTATAACTGAACAATATTACACAATGTAAGATTGGAAAGATGGAAAGATGATGTTTAATGGTGAGTGAAGACAGCATCTGTGCCTGAGGTCTGGAAAAATGCCTTATTTGTTCCCCTGTGCAGAGGGAATATTAGTGTAAGAAAGAATGCAAAAACCAGGAAGGAAATAATTTGGGAAATCATCTATAAAGATATTTCACAGAATTCTGGTGAAAAAGTACACAATATGACGATTCATTATGTGGATCGAGTTAGTGTTAACTTTATTTATTTATATCCTGCCTTAAATAACTTAAGGTGGCAAACGTATTCCTTCCTCCTATATTTTCCACACAAAAATAACCCTTTGAGGTAGGTTGGGGTGAGAGAGAGTACCAGCCTAAAGTCATCTAACTGATGTTCATGCCTAAGGTAGGATTAGAACTCACAGTCTCCTGGTGATTGGTCCAAAGTCAATGCTCTACCGGACTCTGTTGTTACAGCCTCAACCTCTCAAAGCTTCAACCTCAAACTGTCTACCGTGGACCTCACCCATTCTTAAAAGTTCCTTAAAAAGGACATGCATAAACGCACCAGCATGCTTACTGTCCCTGTCCTACTGTCCCCATTTATCTGTATTTATTCCCTTTGTTCACGTTTATGTTCATACCTACACTTGTTATCTTGTACATGTTTGACAAACACATTAAATAAATAAATAAAGTCGCCCAACCAGCTTTCATGCTGAAGGCAGGACTAGAACTCACAGTCTCCTGGGGATTGGCCCAAAGTCACCCATCTAAGTTTTCATGCTGAAGGATTGTGATTTGTTGTGTTTTGGCTCCAATGAATCCACCCATTGTGCTTGTTAAGCATCATGATCATTTGGCATGATAATGTATAAGTCCAGCCAGTGGGGGTCTTTCAAAGGAGCCATGATGTGTAAACTGCCCAGTGAACTGGTGAAATGGGCACTGTAGAAATTTAATAAACGAAGATGAACAAACGTGTATGTAAACCATGGCTTGGCACACTGTGCAAGAAACCTGAGTTGAATAAGTAGAAGTTCAGGCAAGGAAAGAGCAGCCTTACTCCCAAAGATTGCCACTAAAAAGGGAGGGGGTTGTTAAAAAAGGTAGAATATGCCCCCTCTGCCACTTTCCATTTGGCCTTCTTCCTTCAACCCCACCTATATTTTGGGCTTATTTACAGAAGTTGAACCCTGACATGGCACTTGGGCATCTGAAGAAGCACCAGTTTTCTCAACTACTTGCCAATCAGCTTCAAGGGGATGTAACAGGGGAGTGGGTTTTAATGATGGGGGTCGTTTGGATACCCCTTTTGAGGACTTCTCTCCTAGGGAGACCTATTTAGTGCCCATGCTCTTTCTGCTTTCAAGCGAATACCTCTTCATTTTTCCTGAGATTTTATCTTCCAGAGATTATTTATCATCCAAATCCTTTTATCGCCCTGCTTACTCTGCTCTTCTAAGTTTACCGCACCGTGACTGAATTGCTTTTTTTAAAAAATGGAAAAGTTGGTGGCTCATTTGACATGGAAGAGTCGAAGAGAAGACTGACGAGTGATGTTTTTTTCCACATTTGACATTAAAACGCACTGCACAGAACAGGATATAATCACGGTTAGAGGACTTTTACCCAGCTGGAGACCCTCAATTTATTTCCTCAGTAATACTAACCTGGTCATCAGTTGTCATAACTGGAAATAAGGGAAGTTAAATGTATCCAGAAAATTGGGGTAGAGAATTGGAGGAGGCCCATCTAAAAACTAACCCAATCCTAATACTCAGTGGCTGAATTCATCATCCCAAACTTCACGTGAGTGATTGGTAGTGGTTCAATTAGGAACCATTTCTCTCAGCAGGCACTGTTGTGAACCTGCCCAACCTTTCTGCCATAATTTGGTATATTTATTTGGCCAAAACATGGTCTCTATATAATATAGTTTGTTTCTTTCGTTAAGTCAGGTTCGAATGATGTGAATTCATCCTCTGATATCATACATTCTTTTGTTTACCCTGCCTTGCACATTCCCCCCCCCTTTTTTTCTCCTGTATTGTAATACACACACACACACACACACACACACCACACAAAGTATTACAAGACTAGGGCCTTTTCACGCTCGCGTAAACATTCCAAAAGAAGGACAATTTTCAGTTTTGACTGACTTTGCCACCGAATTCAAGATTTCTCTCCCTGGCGCCTTTCTCCGTCAGAGGTGGCGCAAACCCTTTCTTCGCGTGCTTGCGCGTGCCTGGGGCGTGTGTCTACATATATGTACGCATTCCCATGTGATGAGTGCTGCGCTTCTCTTCGCGACGCCTGGGCGTCGGAGGGGAAGCCTATGCGGGGGGGGGGGGGACGTGTAAACTTCTGCGCCCCTCCGTTCCCTCCTCCATCAAAGACGGAGGGAGGAACAGAGCCGCGGGGGTTTCCTCGAGGCCAAACCCACTCCCTCCACTCCGAGGGAGGCAGGCAGACGCCGGAGCTGCCGCCGTTCTCGGGAGGGAGACGGTGCAATCCGGGTGGGGGGCGCAACGCGACAAGCGCTCCTAACTGGCTGGCCTGTACTAGGATCTGGCAACGACCGTCACTTGACGGGCGCGTCTCGATGTTGGAGAAGCCGACCTCGGCTTAGCGGCAGCCGGTGAGGAAGAGATGGGGAGAGGCGGCTCAGGTATTTCGTTCCCGCGCCTAGGGAGGGGTGGGAGGTGGGGGCGGGGCTCTGGAGCGGAGACGGAGCCACCGCATGATTCCCCCTGGACTCCAGGTCCCCGCCAAGGCGCGCCCCGAATTGCGCCGACTTTCACACGATCGCGTCAGGTGAAGTGTATAGGATGGCGCTGAGATCTGCTAGGGATTACTTGGAAGAATACGCCTCCTCTGCTTTGCCAGCTGGGCTCAGAACCTTCAGGGTCCGCGCTGGACGGACTCTCTGGATGCCCCGGACGTGTTTTTGGCCGAAGCCGCGCCCGGGACCACTAGCCGAATCCTGGCGCTTCGGTTCAAGCTAGACGCCGAGCTGAGGTTGGTAGCTCCGCTTTGTCGGCGGGAGACAGAGTCCTCTCCATCTAATCTACCCTCCCATAAGGTCCATATCCAGCTTTTCTCCGGACTCTCCCTTCCTCCTCGGATTACGAAAGGCCCGGCCACTGCCGAGTCTTCAAAGTACCAGAAGTGAGTCCGCGCGCGCGTGGGTTGCTACTGGAGGCTCATTCAACCCTCGTCGCGTTGCAGTGGGGAAAAGCGTCGCTAGATGTGCGCGGAGGTCAAATCCCACTGCTTGACTTAGCGGGTCCGCTTTTCACTATTTTGAAGGGCTGGACTCCAGGAGGTAGAGTGATATACCTGCAGCTGAGCTGGACGGGAGACCACGTAGAAATCCCAGATCTGTACCCGGGAAGTCCGACGTGGACAACCTATGCAAAGACAATGCCTCTTCCATCTATTTCTTTCCAGGAAATTCACTATATCCCAGAATGGAAGCTCAGTTTGATTTATCATGATTTTCAGGGAAGCAGTTTTCCCATGAATGATCAGGCCCGTCCCCCTTTCCATCCCATCACACTCCTTAAACCGGATATCTTGGTGTTGCTGCCTTTTTTTCTTCTCTCTTTTATCATAAACTTGAAACTAGTGCTGCTAAATTACTATCGTGCTGCAGATTTAGACTTTCCTTGCGTTAATTGATTTAGCAACGGGATATTATTTAGCATAAGGGTATTAAAAAAGCCTTGTTGCCTCTGAGGCTGCAGATTTGATTTGTATAAATCTGAAAGGTTTTGTTTTAAATGTGTTCTTGAAATATGGCCTGGGAAGGTACAGGGGGAAAGCATCTTATGTTTTAATTGCATCTTGTTGGACTTAGTTTTATTCAAAGAGTTATTTTGTTATTTTATTGGAAGAAGCACTTTTTCTCTTCCCAGTACAGTTGTCATTACAGATGAAGAACTAACATATTCCTCAGGGTGTCCTATTCATCCCTCCAGGTTCTGGAGATCAGCAGGAGTCAGCTAGATGCCTCCACTTGCTGTGACTTAATTCTTCCTCATATTGAGATTGATTGCTGGTGACATTGTGTTTATCTTCTCCATTCACCATTTTTGGGCAGCAGTTAGAGAAGTGATTTGCCATATCCTTCTGAGACCTTTTTTTTAAACAAAAAACTTCCCAACCTTGCTTATACTTTTCGGTTTCCTAGTGGTCACCCATCCCAAATACTAACCAGATCCTTAACTTTGGGGATCAGCCAAGATTGCCACATAGCTGCCACTGTTAAATCAAGCTAAATAAGTTTGATTCCAGCAAGAAAAGATGGTTTGGAAGCTACAGAACTAGGATTCCTGCTCTTCTATATAGCAATGCAGCTGGGAATATGTCAGTTCCACTTTTCTGCTTTGCATATAAAACATCAGCCTGTGTTTAATCTTGATTATCTGCTGTTGCAAGAGTGCTGTAGGTAAACAAGGGCAACTTCAGACAGAGGGTCTCTCCTTATTAATCTGGCTGCTGTTTCCCCCCCCCCCCCCTTTCCTTCCTGCGGTTTACAGGGACAGAAATTCGGGCATGGCTTTAAGATTACTTATGGCCACATCCTGGAGGCAATTCATGATTACCACCGATAGGTCGATGCTGCTAGAACCAGCCACTTGGCAGAACACCGGCTTCTAAAATAAGAAGTACCTCCCACAATAACTTCCTTTTTAAGAATGCTATTGAAGATATTATTGCAGGACATTAACAATCAGAAGTAGATCTCTTGGTCTGTTCTCATCACCTGCAGATCTTCTCCATTCACCTCTGCAGGATGGACCGCTCTGCCAACTTCACCTGTTTCTCTCCCACTACTTTGGCAGAGCCCAACTGGACCGATCCTGGTCTCCTGCCCAGCCCGTCCGGCATCGGTGTTAAACCCTTGTCAGTCTTCAAAGTCCTTATCTTGACTTTGCTGGCCATGCTGGGGGTTGCCACGTTCCTTTGGAACCTGCTGGTGCTGGCCACTATCTTGAGGGTACGTACTTTTCACAGGGTGCCCCATAACCTGGTTGCCTCCATGGCCATCTCTGACGTGATGGTGGCTGCTTTGGTGATGCCCCTCAGCCTGATGTACGAGCTGTCCGGCCGTCGTTGGCGTCTGGGGAGGCTGCTGTGTGAGATCTGGGTTTCCTGTGACGTGCTGTGCTGCACGGCCAGCATCTGGAATGTGACGGCCATTGCACTAGATCGTTACTGGTCCATAACGCGGCACCTGGAGTACACGCTGAAGACCCGCCGCCGAATTTCCAATCTTATGATTGTGGTGACTTGGCTGCTCTCTGCTATCATCTCCTTGGCTCCGCCACTCTTTGGCTGGGGAGACACTTACTCCGAGGGCAGTGCTGAGTGCCAAGTCAGCCGAGAGCCTTCTTACACCGTCTTTTCAACCTGTGGAGCTTTTTATGTGCCTCTCTGCGTTGTGCTGTTTGTCTACTGGAAGATCTACAAGGCAGCCAGGTTTCGCATTGGATCCCGTAAGAGCAATTCCATCAGTCCAATTACACCCGGAGTTCTAGAGGTTAGTGCTTTGCCTACACTTTTAACACCCAAGAAGTAAGCTTACCACAAAGGTTTAGGATGCAGCATTCATTTGGTCTTTGACTGGCCCTTACCTCGTTTAAGCAAGGCTTAAACCACGATGCTGGCAATTGTGAACTTGTGCTCTGTGGTTCAGACCTCTGATCAACAGAACCATGATTCATTATTGTTATTATACTAACTACTCCCCAGTTAGTCGCACAACCAGCTAGAGTCATTGTTGACTCCTGGCTTTCTTTTGAATAGATCCGTCAGTTTTCTCGGCAATGTTTTTCGGAAGTGATTTTTCCCTTGCCTCATTCCTGGGGTTGAGAGGGAGTGACTGGCCCAACATCACCCTGCTGGGTTTGTGCCTAAGGTAGTACCAGAACTCACACAACATGTGATGATTGGCCCAAAATCATCCAGCTGGTTTTCATGCCTAAAATGGGAATAAAACTCGGGGTCTCCCAGTTTCTAACTTGATGCCTAACCACTACAAAAGCAGCTTATTATTATTATTTGCTACATTTTTTTAAAAATTTCACTTTTCATGTAGGTTATATAACTCAGAGGAGTTATCTTCTCAATACCTAACATTCTCTCAATTCTTTTTTGAAGATTTAGATCAAAAGCTGCAAAGTATTTTGTATTTTGTAGGCTTTGGACCAACGTGGTCTTTAATCCCATTTCCTGAATTTTTGGGGTTAACTATAATTTGGTTGATTTTTGCTCTTCAGCTGAACTACACTCTTAATTACCAGGGTTTTTTTGGGGGGGGGGACGACGACAAACAGCTTCCATTAAAACAGAACTTTCCCAGATTTATCCCACTGCTGTACCAGACTTTTAAGAGAAAGATCGAATAGCAGATAGGAACCAACAGATTAAATTTTTCCTGACCACTCAAACCAGGAAGTTTAATTCAACCAGGTTAATATTGTCAGTATCATCTGTTAGTTATTTGTTCTGCCTATTTTTCTGCCCTCCCTGGATATTTGGGGAGATTATATCTTTCCCAGATATATTTTGGGACTGTTATGCACAGCATATACAGGTGATCCTTCAGTTACGACCTAATGGATTCTGCTTGTGACTGTCATAAATTGGATCACCCAAGTGATGGACATGATTTTACAGCTCTTTTTTGGGAGCTAAATGCCACGGTCATTAAGCAAACCAATGATTTGCTATGGGTATGATTTTCTTAAAAAGTGTAAGTAAATGTCAGTTTTTGACAAAAGCGTCCAAAAACTGGGGACACTGCAAACATCCTGGAAAGGGACCTTGGAGGTCTTCTAGTCCAACCCCCTGCTTAAGCAGGAGACCCTATAATTGGAGACAAATTATCCAGTCTTGTCTCCTCTTAAACCCCCCCCCCCAAATGATGAAGCACCTACAACTTCTGAAAGCAAAGCAGTTCCACTGGTTAATGGTCCTCACTGTTAGGAAGTTTCTCCGTAATTCCAGGTTGCTTCTGTCTTTCATTAGTTTCCATCCATTGTTTCTTTTCCTACCTTCTGGTGCTTTGGAAAATAAGTTGACCCCCCCCCCCCCCCCCCCCACCCCGTCCTCTTCTTTCTGGCAACCAAACTGGTTGCCAAGCATTCAAAGTGTAGTCATTTAACCATGGGTGGATAGGTGGCACTGTTGGAACCTTGAATCCTGGCCGGAAGGATTCAACAAGGAGGTCCATTGTAACTTCAAATGGTCGCTCTGTGCTGTCCCAGCCAGTCTATGGGAATTGGATAGTTACTTAGGAATTGTGAGCTGTCCCCTTAAGGGAATGCATCATGGTAAATGTAGTTAAAGGTATCCTGGGAAATGTAGTTCATGACACGTGGCCACATCTGTAATCCTGATTGATCCTTGGTGGGTTAAGGGAGTTTTCCTCATTCTTTGTCTGAACTCTCTACCACATGGCATCTTCTTTCTATCGCTACGAGATAGGTTAGGAGATAACCCTATTTCACGTACAAGGCAGATATACAAAGGATTGGTCATTAAAGAAGAACTTCGTTATAAATGTGAGTTATGAAGATACCTGATGTACCAATAAATGAACTTTGTTATGGAAGCTTTGTTGAGTTATCTATCTGCATCTGCACAACTATGGATCTAGCTGTGCAGGAGGCAGAACAGTGAAAGATGGTTAACTCCTAACCCATCTCATAGCAATAGAAAGAAAATGTCATAAGCCGAGGACTACCTGTTTGTGACGCCTCTGAATTTCTCATGCTCCTTAATTGAAACCCAAGGCTAGGTGTTTCATCCTCTAAAGCAGGGGTCCCCAACCACCGGTCCGCGGAGCGGTCCCGGTCCGCGGAACTAGTCTTACCGGGCCGCTGGTTGCTGGGCGCCGCCATCTTTTTTGATAAAAAAGTGCTTCCGGTGAGCTTTTCCGGGTAGAAAGCTCACCGGAAGCACTTTTTCATCAAAAAAAGATGGCGGCGCCCAGTTGAGGCCGGTACCGGGCCGCAGCGCCCAGCTGATGCCGCTACCGGGCCGCGGCAAAGAAAAGGTTGGGGATCACTGCTCTAAAGGAGGACATTATCAATCACACACTCCCACTCTCCCGAGGGGGTATTTATTCACGAGACCTTTCCTGCCATGTGTTTCTTACACACAACCTGACAAGCAGCAAGGCTCCAGGCAGGGCAAGGAGGGGACCCAGCCTACCCATACATTTGCTCCACGTTGCCTTTTTTTCTTCTCCCGTTCATTTTGTTTGCTTTGGGCCTTTGAATAGGTTCCCTTTATTCGGTGTGGATGTGTAAACAGCTGCACTGCCTACGACTTCCAAGCTGCATGGAATTGTGAAAAGCACAGGCTCACCGTTTACAAATCTTAGCAAAGGGTTCTCTGCCCGGTGGGTGGGTGGGCGTGGCCATGGTGGGCGTGGCCTAGTCGACCTCTTGCACCACGGCGGGGGAGCATTTTTGCCCTCCCTGGGCTCCGGAGGCTTTCCTCGAGCCTCCAGGAAGGTGAAAACGGCCTTCCCGGACTCCGGAGGCTTTCTGGAAGCCAGAAACAGGCCCATTTCTGGCCTTCCTGAACTTCCGGGAGGCCCGTTTTTTGCCCTCTCCAAGCCTCCGTGCGCGCCCTGCACTTGCCTTCATCCAAAACGGGCTGTGTGGGGAATCCTGGGAGGGGAGGGGCAGGGTGAGGTGGGCGGGGCCAGCCAGGAGTGGGATTTGGGGGTTCCCCGAACTGCACAGAATCTTAGCTAGGGGCTCTCTCGAACCCCTGCGAGCCCCCAGCAGCCCAGCCCTGACCCTGTGGCAGGGAAAGTGGCTGGCTGGGGAATTCTGGGACCCTGGGAAGTGCCCGCTTCTTAAAGAGGCTGAGAAATTCTAATGTAGTGCCTGGAAATAGATCCTGTGTTGTGAACCCCATAAATGATTTATCCCCAGAACTATTATTCTATCACCTGTGGCCATGGGTGTGATTAAGTTGAGGTTTCTGCCTTCGTAGTCATGCTCAGCATGGCAAGGATAACATAAGCTTCTTGGAACAAACTGAAGCATTGCAAACTAATCCGTTTCCCTTCATTACTTTTCCGTAATTGAAAAGCTACTTTGGAGACGGTTGCTGAGATTGACAGAAATGGGGCTGCCTAATCTTTTTGTATGTTTATCCATTCCAAACCACCCTTTCTTTCGTTTGCAGGAGGAAAGAAAGCAGGGTGTGATACATTTTTCAGTGTTGTAACAACAACAACAACAACAACAACAATAACAACAGCAATAATAATAATGATGATAATAATAATAATAATAATAATAATAATAATAATAATAATAATAATAATAGTAATAATAATAATAGTAATAATAATAATAGTAATAATAATAATAGTAATAGTAATAGTAATAATATCCTCCCATATGTTAATTTGGTCTTATTTGATTTTAACAGCACCGTTTTTGTTTTATTCTAGCCAAATTGAGCCTCAACCTGTTGTCCAAGTCTTGATTTACAAGTCCTCAAAGCTACGACCACAATGGACCCTAAAATTTCCATTGCTAATCAAGACAGTTCTTAAATGAGTTTTACCCTGTTTTATGACCTTTCTTGCCACTATTGTTAAGTGAATCACTGCAGTTAAGTTAGTAACACGATTGTTAAGTGAATCTGGCTTCCCAGTTGACTTTGCTTGTCAAAAGTTTACCAAAAAAATGATCACATGACCCTGGGACACTATAACCACCGTAAGCACATGCCAGTCGCCAAACATCTAAATTGGGTTATATGATCACAGGGGATGATACAACGATCGTAAGTGTGAGGACTGTTCATAAGTCAGGGTTTTTTCAGTGATTGTAACTTTTTAATAGTCACTAAACAATTGGACTACTCTCTATTGTGAAAAAAATGTCCTTTATTTTGGTACCTAATTAGCATCTGGGCCATTTTAAAAGCTAACTCTTTCCAGAGTCTCTATGTATGAGCCCATAAATCTGTGATGGGCACTGTGTTTTCCCCAGAGATGGTATTCAGCAGGTTCTGACCAGTTCTGGAGAAACGGTAGCGGAAATTTTGAGTAGTTTGGAGAACTGGCAAATGCTACCTCTGACTGTCCCCGCTCCCATCTATTCTCTGCCTCTCATCGAGTCTCGGCTGATCAGCTGGGTCTCCTTTGGTTGCCCTGCACAGGAGAAGGGAGCTGGAAAGCAGGTTAGTGGGGTGGGGAGGGAATGGGGATTTTACGGTATCCTTCCCCTGCCATGCCCACCAAGTCACGCCCACAAAACCAGTAGTAAATAAATTTGAATCCCACCACTGATCAAGAGCCAGGGAGTCTACAGAATAGTTTAGCTGCCTAAGATTATTAGTTTGTTTAATTCACATTTGCAGGCTATCCAGGGTGCACCAATGGGAGAAAATTAGTCCCACACACAGAGTGTCTAGCAATGTTTTGTAGGAGTGCCAGTGTCATTCAGGGCCTTTCTGCATTGATTTCACCTTGCATTTGGGCAAGTCTGATGCCAGTTGCTTTCT